CATAATTTAAATCATTCAATAGTGCTTCTAATGTTTCTTTAAACAACACATAAAAATTCCATCACCTAATTATTTGGGTACATTTGATTATTTATTTAAATTTTAGATATGAAATTCGAGTCTCTCTCTAACTTTATTTGAGTCCAATAAAGGTTCTTATATCACATCAATCATAAAGAATCCCACCGACTTTTTTTATACAAACACATAATACAAAATCCATTTGATATCTTAAATTATCTAAAAATACACATTGATATATATATTTTTATTTTAAAAGCCAATATGCTACAGAAAACTTTCCCAAATAAATGCAAGACAACAACAATATTTGCAAGGGCAAAACCGTCTTATCACTCGTATTAATAAAGACAGACAAAGATCATCCGTGGTGATTCCCCACCCCAGTCGTACCTTCCACATCATGTATCAATGTCTCACCTTCGACTATATAGTTATTCCCATTTTGGCCCTTAAGCTTCTAGTGCCCTTTTATCTAATATGAAGGAATAAATCGACCTAGCTAGTTGCCAATATCCGATCCACCCACCCCTAAAAGAAAAAGGACTTGAGACCTGTCTCAATATGCCTTTATCTGATGCTTTGTAGTGTATATATAGAATAAGATGTAAACTAATAATAAATTAATAGGAAATTAAAACCATTAAATAGTTATCCTCTAAATAAATATTATAAAGTCGATCCCAAGACACACACAAGGTCTGATCCACGGTTGTAGATCAGTAAGAAAAGGCCCTCTATATGACCAAAAAAGTTTAACTACAAAATTCTTGTGAGATCCTTTATGGTAAAAAACTTCACTATTATACATGTGATCCATGTAAACGTTGGGATCCCTTAACATTGTATTTGTCACTGAAAAACTTGAGATCCATAGGTTTGTTTGATTGTGATGAATGAATAACATCTTTTTTGATCCGTCGCTGCTAAAATTTAATTATCATGTCTCACAAAAAGATTAATACCTAGGCCCGCCACTAGGCTCAATGCCCAAAGGTGTTGGTGATTTAGTATGATCAAACAGTTTAGTGTGATCATGATTAAGTCGAGGCTAGTTTGAGCCCACTTTCAGGTATATTGCGACTTCGGGAGGTGTGATTTGATCTCAGGAGCTCAAGGGTTTGGAGGATGCAACCCTAGTGGGGTTACAAGGGGCGGCGACCAAACGGATGTACTTGTTTGTAATTTTACCAATAAAACCAACCAACATGTCTGCTACAATAAACGCCACCTTTTCCGACAAAAAAACAAATAGAATATAATCGTCCTATATATATAGTTTCAGGCTTTCGGTTTTTTATAACACTTTTGACATTTCAATCTTTTAGCGATTTCTTGTCTCGTAGAACAATATATTATTTGTGTTTGTCTCTTTGTTTTGCTTGAAACGGAGAATAATTTTATTGGATTATTCCAATTACTACCTATACTTATATGCTTTCATTTTTTTAGAAGAAAACTTTTTGCCTTTCAATCTTTTAGTGATTTCTTGTCAAATAGAACAATACATTATCTATGTTTGTCTCTTTGCTTGAAATGGTGAGTTACTTTATTGGATTATTCCAATTATATGACCAAAAAATTTAACTACAAAATTCTTGTGAGATCCTCTATGGTAAAAAAAAAAAAAAATCATCACTAATATACGTAATCTATTTAATCGTTCTGATCCATTAAAATTTTCCTTTTTACTCAAAAACTTAGTATCCATGTGTTTATTTGACTGTGAAGAATGAATAACATTTTTACATTTTGTCAATGCTAAAATCTAATCATCACGCCTCACAAAAATAATATCTAGATTCTAGCACTGGTTCACATCAAAGATGTTGGTGATTTTAATATCATCAAACTCTTTAGTATGATTAAGATTAACCAGAGGCAAGTTTTGGTTCGCTTTCCGATAGACAGTGACTTCGGATGTTTGATTTGATCTTAGGAGCAAGAGGGTTTGGAGAATGTACTAGGAGGGGAATTAAGGAGCGTTGCCCTTGTTTATGATTTTACCGTCAAAACCAATAAACACGTCTTGCTATAATGAACATCATTTTTTTAGGAAAAAACTAATATAATATAATTGTCACAACCTATATTTATAAGCTTTAATTTTTTAAGAGACCTTTTCCCTTTTAATATTTTTAGCGATTTCTTATCTCACAAAAAGCACATTATATGTGTTTGTTCTCTTTGATTTTGGTTGAAAATCAAGAGTAACTTTATTGGTTATTTATTCCTATTTTCTTCCGATTGCCTTTAACCCTAGGTATAGAAGGTCGATATCATATTATCGAATGATTATGTTATAATCCTCTAAGAAAAGCGATCTTAACATAATTATTTTCATATTTCGGTCTAGTTTGAACGCCCATCGATTTACTCCCGATAAAACAATGGGTAGAGAGGGGGGGGGAGGGTGTTATAATATATGTGTTGTGCATTGGCCCATATTTTCTTTTAATTACCCTTTGGCCCTCGACCTTGTTTATTTCATAGAACATGTATATATGTTATCATGTAATCATTCACTATACATGTTAACATCCTAAATGATAAAGTATTCAAAAAACAGTCCAAAACGATGACAACCCGAAGTTAATTTCTAAATCAATTCCGGACAGATATTTCTAGGCTCATGGTGATTACAAAGAAGACACACAAACGAATAGAATTTAGAAGAATTTTTTTTGTCATTTATAGCATCTTACTTTTGTATATTTTTGTTATATATGGCATTTGATTTTGTCTTAAGCTTTCCATAATAGCATTTTACTTTATATATTATATTGTTTTTTTCTATTTGAGCATTGTACATTTGCATATATTTTTTTTATTTATAGTATCATATTTTTTCCTATTATAGCGTTGTACTTTACTATTTTTTTTATTTATGGCATTTGATTTTGTATTATGTTTTCTATAATAACATTGTATTTTAAATATTGTATTGTTTTTTTTTCTATTTGACCATTGTACTTTTGCATATATATTTTTTTATAGTATCATATTTTTTTCATAATAGCATCTTACTCTTTTTTCTCATTTTTTTCCATTATAACATTGTACTTTCCAAATAAGCCCTTAAAAGTTAAGTGATATTTCAATCAATACATACATACATACATATACATACAAATACACTTAAACATACATCCTACACATATTGCATATTCATTATAGCATCCTAACTTTTTTTTTCATTTTTTCCATTATACCATTGTACTTTCCAAAAAAAAACCCTTAAAAATTAAGTGATATTCAAATCAATACATACATACATGTACATACAAATACACTTAAACATACATCCTACACATATTGCATATTCATTATAGCATCCTATTTTTTTTTCTTTTTTTTCCATTATAGCATTGTACTTTCCAAAAAAGCCCTTAAAAGTTAAGTGTTATTCCAATCAATACATACATACATATACATACAAATACACTTAAAGATACATCCTACACATATTACACATTCATTATAGCATCCTACTTTTTTTTAATTTTTTCCATTATGGCATTATATTTTCCAAAAAAGCCCTTGATACATATATATACACATTACATACATAAATAATACACATATTATACATACAAATACACTTAAACATACTTCCTACACACATTGGATATTGATTATAGCATCCTAATTTTTTCAGTTTTTTCATTATAGCATCCTACTTATTTTTCATTTTTTTCCCATACATATATACACACATTACATACATATATACACACATTATATACTTTTATGCATTCTATTTCATATACTTACATCATACACATTACATATATACATAATGCATATAATATGAAGAACTAGATTAAAATACTTCATGAAAATGGAATAAAACCTGTGGTGGAAAGAAATCAGAATGGTGGTGGTGTGTGGGGGGTGTTGTGGTGGCATAAAATCTGGTAGTTTTGGTGGCAGTGATGACAACCTGAAATTAGAGGTCAGAAAAGCTTAATACATAAAATCAAACACCCAAATCAGTTGATAGTCACTAGAGAGAAAAGGAATCGAAAAAAATGAGGATAAGCACTTGTATCCCAGCAGAAAATCTGGCAGCTAATTGTTGTCGCCGGTGATGGCAGTCTTGTCGTCGTTGGTGATAGAGGATGGATCAATTTCGTAGTCAGAAGGGTAACGTCGATCGATAATTGAGTAAAATGATATAGAATACAGAAAGCGGCGACAATGGAGCTTTAGCAGCGACATCGTCTCGAGGAAAAATATACCACGATTTTTTTGGAGCATTTGGGACGACGATGCCGCCGCTAATAGTTTAAGCGATCTTCGTTTCCAGCCGTTTGACATGGATCGTGGTTTTCTACCATTAGCGGCGACCGGTAACGCAAAATTTACCTATTGCCGCTAAAAGTGAGTGTCGCAGCTACTCGCGTCGCCGTTATAGCCTTTATTTCTTGTAGTGCTTCTAGAGAGTTGACCAAAATCATTCGGTAATAAATTCTTTTTCTATTTACTTTCCACACTGAAAATATTGTTAAGTGTTAGAATTTTCTTGCATTCATTCTATTTCACATCGAATAAGTTGAGATTCCGCTATTGTCATATGAAATACCAAGAATATGGCGCTAAAACTGACACAAAAGTATCACCCCTCGAATACGGGTTCATAATTTCATCAAAGAAAAACAAGATGTTGGATTTTCATTTTTCATCTTATTACTTGATAACCACATACAATAATTTTTTTCTCCACAAAAGAAAAGAAAAAACCACATAACAATAGTTTAGAATGTCTAAGGATCTATAATATAAACAAAATGCATCATGGGTTATACGTTTATGCATCATGGGTTATACCTTTATGCATGGAATGATTGTACTGAAACACATACAACTACCAAACAAGAAAAGGTTCAGATTCTAATACAATTTTTTAATTTATGTCCCATATGGTATTGTTGTGAAAAAGAAAGGGCATCAACGTGTCAATTCTTTAAACATTTCAATCAACTTAACGGCATAGTCACGGCAACACTGACGGAACTTTTGCAGCTCAAGATTCCAAGTACTCCCCATGAAGTTTTCCGGTGATCGCCAACGCGACTAACGGCTAACCCTCCACCGGATTCAACAGTAGGGAATAATGATTTTGGAGTATTCTGCACAGTTTGCCGATTTCTGATGTCCCGGAGATCCATCTCCGTTGGCACCTTCACCGGCCCAAACATGAGATCAGTCCACCTAGAAGAAGAAGTTTTGTTGCTCAAACTGTTGCGGTGGATCTCCGCCGTAGGCTCAGAATTCGATCTTGAGTTCCTTTGCAGCTTCTTGTAGTCCAAAGAGTGGCTGTTTCTCACGAGTTGCCTCGCTGTAGTCTTATTGGTGTTGCTCTTTAACTCGCGCATTGACTCAGACCGCCGACGATGAACCTGTTTCTGGTTACGAGTTTGATTTTCACTTCTTGGTGGTGGTTGATCATGGTGAGGCTGATCATTAGTGGGTATAAGCTTCCCACCAGATATCATGTCTTCAGCATGAGACATAACGTTTTCTTCTGAAAAACTACCCAATCCGCCACTAAAGAACTCAAATAAATCTTCTGAGGTTGACGATGATGGACAATGATGTCGATCTTCAAAATTGGAATTCCCATCGTCTGTCAGGGGAAAATCTGTAAGAGAAAGAGTCTCAAGTGCCTCTAGTTCTTCATCATCATGGTTGACACCCATTTCACACGGTATGTGTGTGTGCTTGTATATTGTGGAGTAGTTAATGAAGAAAATAAAGAGTACACAGGAGTCAAAGCATATAGATGTACGAAGGTATAAGTGTATATAAAGAAATCATGTATCATTAAAAATGTGCATGCACTGTAGATATCAATATAAATAAAGATAAAGATGAAATAAAATAAGGGTATAATAGGGTTGGCAACAAATAGCCATCTTTGTTGTGCCTTTTCCTTATGTCACTTTAGCGTATCCATATTCCTCTACCACCCACAATACTTTATATATGGTCGACAAAACTAATGTTCATGTGATACTTTATATATAGACAAAACTAATGTTCATGTGGTTTGTATATGTTTTTGGTCTATGGCAAGAAGTGATCATCTTAATAAAGAGATTATGGGTTGAAATCTCATTTGAAACATAAATGTTAATTAGAAAGAGATTAGTTTGTTGTTTCCAACAAAAATATGGTTTGTAATTTTTTTCAGTAATTAAGTCCAAAGTACAAACCTTTCAAAATTTATGAAAATTGTATATTTTTCTTTTCATCAGGTTTCATTATGAATGTTGGTCCTTAAGAACTTGTAACTTCAATTTTACCATTTTAATTTTTTCCCCATTTTTTTCAATTGTTTTACCATTAAAGAAATAAAAATAAACCCCTAACCCCTACCCACTCGCATGAGCTTCTTCCATTCCAAAATAAATCACAAACTCAAACCTTTTCTCTCTTACCAAAGAACCAATCCATTCCATTCCCAACTAGTTGTTAACATCCTGGTCAATACCACCACAAGTTCATGTGAGACTTCATATATAGACAAAACTAATGTTCATGTGGTTTGTAGTTGTCTTTGGTCTAGTAGTAAGAAGTGATCATTTCAATAAAGAGATTATGGGTCAAAATCTCATTTGAACCATAAATGCTAATTAGAAAGAGTTTAGTTTGTTGTTTCAAACAAAAATATATGGTTTGTATTTTTTTCGATAATTCAGTCCAAAGTCCAAACCTTTCCAAATTTATGAAACTTGTATTTTTTTTTTCATCAGGTTTCAATATGAATTTGGTCCTTAGAAACTTGAAACTTCAATTTTACCATTTTAATTTTGCATTATTTTCAATTGTTTTACCATCAAAGAAATAAAAATAAACCCCCAACACCTACCCATTCGCATGAGCTTCTTCCATTCCAAAATAAATCACAAAATCAAACATTTTTTCTCTTACCAAAAAACTAATCTATTCCATTCCCAACTAGTTGTTAAGATCTTGGTCAACACCACCACCATTAGATTTTTTTTGAAATGACAAATCTAACCTACTCCGAAACTACACCTTAAATCCACCTATGTCCACGACGGGACTTGAACCCTCAACCTCAAGGAGGGAGGGCAACACCGGATACCGTTGATCAAGAAGCCCTTTGGTACCACCACCATTAGATAGGAATGGAAAATATTCTCCACCCATTAGTGACACATAACGTGTGTCATTAAAAGGTACATGCCACATACATTTATGACAATTATGTCTCACATGTTTAATGACATGTAATGTGTATCATTTAATAACACACACACATATATATATATATATATATATATATATTCAAATAAGAAGGAAATTTTTGGTAGGAAGATATGAAGTTTTTTTTCTACATATTTTTTTCGCGAACAAACAAAATGAATCATTAGATGATTCATTTGTAAGATGATTCACAATAAAAAATTCTCAAAAAAACATCTCGATGATTCATTTATACAATGATTTTGTTGTTATTCATTAAAATTGTCATAAAAGTGAATTTTTTCTTAATTTACTTAAAAATGAATCATAAAGATGTTTTTTTGGGAATTTTTTCTTGTGAATCATCTTACAAATGAATCATCTAGTGATTCATTTATTTTGTTCGTCAAAAAAATATGTAGAAAAAAAACTTCTTACCTTCCTACCAAAAAAAATTTCTTACCGGATCTATATATATATATATATATATATATATATATATATATATATATATATATATATATAAATTAAACACATATTTAATATCCCGTAATACAAAATAGAATATAATACAGAAAAAAATCAATCCAATACAACATTTAAGTAATGTACATTGCAACTAACTCCACGTTTGCTAGTCTTGCCATGTTAAACTTTAAGTCAAAGTGGTTAAGGCACCTGGGAAAGATCCTGCTCCGAATGGTGCTCCAAACAGATTTGCATTTTGAAGCGATATAGGGAAATTAAATTGTGAAAGGCTCTATATGTTGTCAAATAACAAAAGAAATAATGTAACGTCGTAAATTTCAAACAAAAATTTTCATTTAAAATCGAATTAAACATTCAAAGCTATTCCTTGAAAATATATCATAACATTCATTTACTTAAAATTCATAAAGTTAAACCAAAGTTAAATTATAAAAACCAGCGAAAGTCAAAATATCAATATAATACCGATGAAAAGTATAGTCATGTTGTGGCCTTCCGTATCGCATCTAATCAACCTTAAAACATTGTACTTAACAACGTCAGCTTAAAGCTTAATGACTCCTTCAGTATACCACATATTCCACCGTACATACAATTCATATAAAACAAAGGCTTGACACTCTAGTGATGTTCAACCACATCAGAGTGAGTATCTAAGCTCATAACTCTAGTGTTGTTCCACCATCAAAAATTAACATAACATATCAACATATATATCGATCATAGGCACCCTGCCAATATATAAACAATGGCTCTCAGCTACCAAAAAACGATAGGCTTTCAGCCGTCCATAACCATTCTAACTCCATTACTTATACAGACAGTTGTCTCATGAATGCATATTCATACGTAGTCAGTAAATAAGATAGACATTCGAATAAATGCTCCTACCCGAAAGCGAAAAATCAAACAAGAAACATGTAATAAGGCCAGATCAGAGTTCTAAGGCTTTCTCATTTAAACTATGTACGGCCCCTACGACCTTCACTCAACATTGAACCAATACTAGAAATACTTCATCCAAACATAGCATATAAAAGTACCATACAATCAACCAATCACATACATAATTCTAGTGTCCCAAAATTTGCAATATATCTAAATTTTTAAAAACAGCATATATTTAAATCAAAACAATAACTTGTATTATTAAAAGGTTTCAATACCAACCCCACGATCAACCTAAGTCAAAAAGCCCATAAATACATTACAAATTCCCATAAATTAATCACACATAAGCATAATCTAATGTATCATAATGTTTCATCAAACTAAATTGAGCTAGTGTGTACGGTCACGCCTTTTCCATCCTTTGTACTTGATAATCCCAAAACAGTAGTTTTAAAAGGAAAAGGTAAGCACAAACCTTAGTGAATTTCAACATATACATAGTATAACATTACACATGCTCTACTTATAACATCAGGATACAATTAACATATAACCACATAACCACACTTGTAAGTCTAAGAACAAATAAAAAACAAGCATAAATTATATCGGGAGACGTTGGCTAATGTTGAACCCCATGCTTACTTTTTCGAGCCCTCATATATGTATTCCTCGATAAGTTGAGCGAATATTGTATTCCTCGGTACATTGATCAAATATCGTACGTATATCCCTCAATATGTTGACCCGATATCATACACCTGCTATAAAAAAAACTTAGCCTAGTACTACCCACATGCATCTTATAATTGCACACGCGCTAAAGTAAGGATGCACAATATCATACAATGTACTGAGAATCTCACCTTAAATCGTAGCATAAACATCAAACGTCCTCTGGGAAATCAACATGACCAACACACCTCACACCTTACCTATAATAGCATTTAAATTGGATTAATACTAATCCTAAACCTCTTGTACCATTAAATGCTCCTTGGAGTCAGAGCTCTAAATAAGGTTCAAGGTCCTGAAATTAGGGTTTGGGCCTTCCAGCTAAGACGTGTTGTTTCTCTACTTAGAGGGGGGTTGTGCCTACATGAGTTTCTTCTCAAATTAAATTTCCTTCTTTATTCCAACTTCCCTTACCACTTCCATCTTTCCTTGTAATTTAATAAAATCAATTTGGAAAGAAGAAGGAAATCAGAACTCGAGTGTTACAAATAACAAAATTTTAATATATATATATATATATATATATATATATATATATATATATATATATATATATATATATATATATATATATATATGCAAAGACACGGTATGAAATCAGCTGACTTTAAATAAAAAAAACACATTATACCTAACATATTCAAGAACAATATAATTCCCACCATGTTCCATAGGGCACATATCACCTCTTAGCCGAAACCATGTTCTTCAAAGTCTCTACATCATTGATGTGGCGGTTTAAGTCCCGTGTTCGTAAAGGATCAACAACTCTTTTTGTTCCTTGTAAATGAAGGGTATGTATACATCATTGGGAACATATCACCTCTTAGGAGAAACCATGTGTTTTAAAGTTCGTACATAATTGATGTGGTAGTTTTAGTTCAATGTTCATGAAGGATCAACAAATCTAGATGATCCTTGTAAACAAAGGGTATGTGTATATCAACAAAACCATTTGTTATACCTAGAACAAAACAAATGCACTTTGGTATGGACCATATGCATTTGAATAAGTTGGTAAGCCCCTTCAAGCAAAGAGAATATGGGGTATATATCCTTGTTGAACTAACGCAACACCTTGTGAAATAGCTTATCACCTGGAGAGTACTTTTCTGAACAACAACACCTATCTCTTTCCAATAGTATTTTTTATGTGTTAATGGAACTTACCCAAAAAACTAAAATTTCACTGTAGTATCAATAAATGGTCATTCCACTAATAAAACCCCACATGACAATTAGACAACACAAGAAGTCATAAATTTTTTCAACAATAAACACTCAATGGTAAGCAAACACTACATAGTATAAAAATTTTAAAAAAAAAGTAAGTACCAATTATATCTCCTTATGATTTGAAGAAGATAACACT